AGACAGCAGCTCAGCCGTATCCTCAGAGCACCCTGGCCAGGATCAGGAGAAAGCTCGGAAGCCCCCTCTGCCCCCCCCAGGGACTTTTGAACACCCGGAAGCCCACTCCCGACTTTGAGGCGTTCCCCTGGTGGCTGAGCCGAGCTGAGGGGCAGGACAAAACTCTTCAGAGCCAAGGAACCTGCTGGGGCACCAGGTCACCTGCTTTGGAGAAGCTGAGCCCCTCCTAGAGTCCCACCCCCCCTTTGCCACCTCCAGGTCCAGCCCAGCCCTCCTGGTGGGGCCCCTTCCTCAGGCGGCCGGCTGATCCTGCCTGCCTGAGAGTCCAATAGCCAGGAAGGTGGGACAAGGCGTGGGAGGCCCTGCTGGAGTGGCCTTGGCAGCTGGGCTGGAGAGGTGGGGGAGCAGCAGGGGCGGGGGGGGGGGCTGCTCTTGGGCATGGTGAAGGGGCCACTAAGAAGGGCCAGAACCCCCTCTGGGTGGGAGGCTGGTAGCCACTCAAATGGAGTCCTGTCCACAGGCGCTTATGAGCCCTCGACTTTCCTCTCCGGAGGCCCAGCTGCCTCCAGCCCAGCTGCCTCCAACCTCTCCGGAGGCCCAACTCCCGCCAGCCGCAAATACTTATTTCCCCCGAGGAAGACCTGTCAGCCCACCTCCAGTTGTGAGTCTTTTCTGTGCAGGCATCTTGGCCAAGAGAGGGGGGGGGCTGGCTCAGGAATTCTGGGAGTTGAAGTCCAGGAGTCATAAAAGAGCCAAGGTTGCCTCCCCCTGGTCTGCACAGTTTCAGGAAGGAGAGTGGCCTTTCCCAGCTCTTTGCCAAGGACTGTTGCAAGAGGTGGAATGACCCTGTCTTAGCAGCTGAGTAAAACCTATTCAGCAGATCTTTTTCATATCCAGTAAGGATATATATATATATATTTATTTTTAAACACTTTTCTGTCTCCAAGAAACTTAGAGCAGGATACCTGTGCTCTTTTCCCTTCCTGTTGCAATGTGACAACCCTTGCAAATTTCAGATTTGGACGTGGCTGCAGGCCCAAAAAGGGGGTTCTTTTTTTCTAAAAACTTTAGCAAATTTCATAAAATACAAAAAAGAAAAAAGAAAAAAAAGAAGAATTTAAAAAGAGGGAAGAGGAGGTGAAAAGCAAAACTGATGATTGCTGACAAAAAGGGAAAAAAGCTAATAGAAAGAAAAGCAACTTCTGACTTTCCTCAGTACAGATAAAAACCTAAAAATCAACGAAGCAGACTAAATCAGAACAAACAGTATTTCTATCATCGTAACAAGTCTAATCATCAAAACCCAAGTTAAAATTTCATTTCTTTCCAAGCAGAAAATAAGGTAGGCCAAGTCTTCTCTTTAACCAAAGCAGTCGACCAACAAAGCTTCAGCTCGACTAAGCTGAATTAGAATCTGGGTCTTGCGACACGGCCGCCCAAGCTAGCAGCCCAAAGCCCCCCCCCACTGAAAAAGAGCGTCTATCCTGCAGAGCATTTAACAGAATGTCTTCAGCCCTTTAAAAACGCCTTCCTTTCCCGCAAAATGGCAATGCCCCGAGATCGTTCAGAGACCAGGATTTTAACTGACCAAGGCGAGGAAGCCTCCCTCCCTCTGGGTTTACCAGTCTGGGGACAAGACAAGAGAGGCTTTCTTTCCCCTTTCCTAATTTTGCAGGGGGGGGGGCTGGAAGGAGCTGCTAAGAGTCCCTTGAAGTCTGAGTCACTGGCAGATCTTGCTCCCCAAGAGGGATGTGGGACAATTCTTTGCCTCTCCCCTTCTTTACTGTTTCCCTTTTCCAGTTAATTAGTCCAGCCAAGAGAGCCAGGACGGGAAGGGCCCTGCCTGCGGAAGGCAACAGGAATGGGCTGACCTAGAAAAATCTCCTGCAGAAGTGGCTTTAAGGCCCCCCCAGCGCAAGGACGGAGGAAGGCTGATCCGTTAGGGTCTTTGAGTCTTTCAGTTTCCAAATTGCCATCATATTTCATTCTCTTTTTGGAAAAATGTGCAGAAGGACTGTGTAATAGCCGCCCACTTTCAAAGCGCAGCAGCCTGTTGGGTGAAGGGAGCCTGGAAGAGGCAGGCGCTCCCTTTGGCAGGCTCTTGGGAGTCAAGAGGCCTGCACTGGAAAAAAAATACAGATTTCGCCCCCCCCCCAGGAATGGTCAAATGCAGGTAAGCAGGATGCAAAGGTCTCCTCTGCTCCTGTCTGTGCCTGGCCAGGCTCCATTCAGCCCTCCCTGCAGCCGGTGGACTGTCAGGCCCTGGTCCAGCAAGTTCCCAGTCATTGTCCGAAGGGCTGATTCAATGGAAGTTTTGGTTACCGGATTGCGTTGTTTTTCTTCTCTTCACAACAGAAGGACCTCTTTCTCCTCTTTCCCACAATGGCCTTCTCAAAACCTGGGCAGGCTGCACAGTCAGAAATGCTAGGAAATCAGATTCTGACCCACACTCTGATCCTCTCCTGTGTAGCAACTCCAGGGACCCAGACCAGCCTCGGCCCTCACTGGGTTCTCCCCCTCCCCACTCCCTCCAAAGGAGACAGGAGTAATCTATGGCATTGTTTTCCAGAGATAAGCAGGAACAGAAGATCTATTAGTGGCTGGAAGGCAGAGCCAAGATTAGGCCCTGCAAGGCTAGCTTAATTATCCCTGGCAAGAGAAACACACAGCATTTATCAGGGAAGGGGGGGGGAGAGAAAAGGCGAGGGAGGCTCGCCCAGCAGTGGGAGGGTTTCCAGCGGCTCCCTTCACTCGCCTGGGGGACTGACACGTCCCCTTTTTGGCTAGACAATCAATTTGACCTTTGCCTTCACCTTGTCTGCCTTGCTTTGTCACTTGGCCACACTTCCCAACTATTTTGCCCACGCTTGCATATCCAGGCAAGTAAAGTCAGCACAGCCATTGATTCCTGGAGAATGAGCCATCAACAGCTATTAGTGTGTGTGTGGGGGGGGGGGAGAGCCTCTGTGGTTGAGAGCAGCCTGCCCAGGGGAGCCAGAGGTGGGAGGAAAAGGACCGCTGGTGGGTTCCTGGGTGTCCTCCTGCTGGCTCCGGAGAGAGACAGGGTGGATGGACCCTCTGGACATCTGGAGGGCAGAGGCTGGCTTGGAATTGGGAGGGGGGGCGAACCAGACCCATCCACTGGGCAATAGAGGTTTGAATGGCTGGGGTCCCACCCTAAATAAGGGCGAAGCAAGAATGCCAGCGCTGCTACCCACCTGGTCAGACAATGAAGCCGAGGGAGATCCACTTGCTGGCCCAAGGGAGGGGGCACCTGGCGCGAAGCCTTGGCTGAGTGGGAAAGAGTATTGTGTGTGTGTGGGGGGGGCTGGATGGAGAACAAGGAGTGCAAATGTCCCCCTCCCCACACACGTTCCTAACTGAAGTGTTCAGGAGAGCTCACGAATCACCCATTTGTCTTGGGTGATGCTGTGGCTGTTTCAGCCAGCCGAACAGAGGTTGAGGGGCTCTGCTCCTCTGTTCACCTTCCCAGATGGGCAAAGTCACGCCCCCCCCAAGGGATCCAGGGCTCCGTGCCCATCTCACAGGAGACAAGGGGAGCATTGCCCCCTCCCTTGAGAGCCCAGCTGGCTCAGAGGCAGCGAAAAAGGAGCCTGGCTCCGGACCGGCTCTCATTTCTGCCTCCTTGAGCTGGAATTGGTTTCACGGCTCCTCCAGTTCCCCCCCCCCATGAGAAATTGGTCAACTTGCTAGAGGCAGTTATTCTATCTAAACAATAACATTCGCTTTTTAAAGTTGTCACACGAGGAAGGAAATTATTTTTACCTCCACAGGGGGAAACCTCTTTGTGTTCGGGTATATTTCCCCCCCACCCCTTTCTCAGAAATAAGATCCTAATAACTCTGCCCCCCTCCCACTTTAATCTCTTTTAAATGCACTTAGCAAAGGACTCTCCGAGGGTTGCGATTTTTAGCAGGCAAAGGGTGGCAGTTTAGCTGTAATTACTTCACTTCCGACAGAGTAATTGCATGGCGCCCCCTGCTGGCAGTTAGAGAAAGGCCTGGCAGCGTTGCCCCTCGCTGAGCCTGAAAGGCAGCGCTGGAGAAAACCGGTCGCGGGGGGGGAGGGGCTGCTCCCCCTCTTTCCGGGGGCTTTGGGTTAAAATGATGGACCTTAAGGACGAGGCCGGGAGGGTTTAAGATGCCCCCTTTCCTCAGTGGGCACACTGCACCTGGGCCTGAGGGAGGAGGGCCGCAGCAGCAAACTGCCAGCTGTGATTTAACCTTTTTGCTAGTGATTTTGGGTGGGGGGGGGACGCACACCTTACCTCACTTTCCCAAGCTAGGGAACTAGTGCTGTGCTGTTCCTTCTAGAAGTTTGCGCCCTTTGCCATCCTGTTTGCCAGATGAGGCCTGGCGTGAAGCCGTTTACCAAGCGAAGGCGGGGCACAGCTGCAGCAGCTGTTGAGGGGCTCCGGGCCTTCCCGGGAGCAGCCAGGCCAGGCCAGCCCTGGGCTTGACCGTGCCGCCACCATCGCCTCTTCTTTCCGCAGCCGACACCTCTCTCTTCAAGGGCTGCTTGTCCCCAGATAAATCAGGATTTCATAGCAATTAATCTCCGGGCTCCCCCGGCAGTGATCAGATTGCTCTGGAGAGGTTTCATTAAGAGCCTGCTTGCTCTAATCAGGAGCACGTCTCACTGGCTTCTTGCAAAGGGGCTGCGTGACTGTAACCAGGCGGCTCTCCCCCTCCAATTCTCCCCACACACACCGTGAGGTAGCAGATTCCTGGAAACCACTCATGGACTCTCTTTGCCCATAACCAAGAACAACCTGTTTCAAATCTTCCACCGGCCCGCAACCAGGAACGGGACCTGGCTGGGCCCCTCTGCCAAAGCTCTGGAGCCGGAACCAGCCCTGCCTGGAACTGCTTAGCTGCCCACAGGAGCCCAAGACTTCCCCTCCCCCCCCCAAGACTTCTGGTGCTGGTTCATCTCCAGTTGACGGGTTGCCTGCTCTTCTCCCCTTTTCTGCTCCAGGTATGAACTCTGTGGGGAAGCCCACCGGCTCATTTCCCCACTGGGAGGACCTCACAAACAGCACCTTTCTCAGGAGGAAGACGGGGCCCTCCAGATACCCCACCCCAGAGAGTCCGGAGCAGGTGCCAGAAGAGTCCCTGGACGCCCTGACTGCCAAGCTGGCCTTGCCCCCAAAGGGGGCCTTCTCAGGGCCCACCGCACGACCAATCCCTCCTGCCAGGAAGAAGCAGGAGAATCAGCAGCTGAAGTCGGCCACCAGCCTCGGGCCCTTTGTGGAGAGCTGGCAGCCCCTGGAGGATTTGGGGGAACGTCTCCCCGGGTCTCTGGAAGAGAACCCCATCGTGCCTGGGGGGGACAGCAGGGAAAGCAGCCACGGCGTGACCAGCCATTCCTTGCTCCAGATCTCTCCTTTCACAGTTCCGTTGGTGACCCAGGGTCCTGGTGCTTCTCCTCAAGGGGTGACCGAGACCCTTGAAAAGGAAGCCGGGATCCTGCCCAGCAGCCCCTCCCAGAGTGCCAAGGGGGGATCTTCCTCCAGGGAAGAGGGCCGAGAAACGACTTCTGCTATCGTGAACCCCCCGGAGCAGCTTCCGAGTAAGTGAGCCGGCCATTGCACCGCTACTGTCCCTGCCTTCTTGCCAGTCTTTTGTTTCTCCACCTGCTCTGCTCTTGGGAAGGGATGGATTTTGCCTCAGCCGAATGGCGCCCCTCTCCTTGGCCTGCCTGCCTCCTCCGAGGCATGGGCTCTCAGCCCAGGACTCCCCCACGCCCAGCCCTGCTGGGGGGCTGATCCTGGCTGCGCTTGGCTGCTCTCGGGCACTCTGGAAGAGGCCAGGTGAGGGAGCTTTCGGCTGGCCTCCCTTCCAGGTCTCTGCAGCATGAATTTCTCTGAACCGGAGGGTTACATTGACTCAGCTGAGGCTTCGCTGGTGCCCCAGAACGGCTTCCTGGAGTGCACCTTCCGGGTGACGGTCTACACCGGATACGGCGTGGAGCTGCAGGTAGGGAGCCTGCTGGAGGGCTGGCATGGGAGGGGGCTGCTGAACCTGCGGGTGGGCTTGGTGAGCCTTCACTCTTGAACACACCTAGCTATTACGGCTAAGGAGGGCACCCTGGGCACCTGACTTCCCACCCAGCAACAAAATGAAGCCTTGAAGCAGGACCCAGAGAAATTGTGCCTCAATCTGGAGCCTTCTGGAGGGTTGGACTACACCCTCCCCCTCCCCTGTTGCTCATCCTGGGAGTTGTAGTCCTCCGCCACAGCTAGAGGGAAGCAGGGTTGGGTGAGCCTGTTCCAAAGGAAATATCTCACAAGTTACATTCCTATGGGGCTCCCAAAGACTCACGGGCAGACTCCCTCGTGCCATCGTGGCCCCGAGTCCCCTTCCCCACTGCCCTGTGTGGTTCATCATCCAGAACGGGTTCCTGATGCTGTGCGGGGTCTCCACCTTTGCTCCTATTTTGCTTTCCTGCCGAGCCAGGCCAGCTGGGCCCTGGTGGGAGCAGGCGGCTTGCGAGGAGGAGGTGGCAGTGGGTAATTCCGGGGGCTGTTAAAGCAGGACGTTTGAGGCGGCACAAATGCCAGCCTGAGCAGGAGTGACGCTTTCAAAGGCTGCTATTCAGAGCATGAAAACCCTTCAGGTGAAGAAAAGAACCCCGGGGCTCATTCAACAGAAAAGCCCCCCCTGCACCTCCCCATCTATTGGTTTGGTGACCCCTTTATTGGGCTGCTCCACCCCAGGGGGACTTGGCAGGCCAGGCACCTCAGTTCAGGGGATAATCATGTCCACGTAGTGGGAGCCGTCCCCCCACCCCACCCCCAAGTGGAGCAGCTCTGCAAGGGTGAAAATTTGGACTCTGCTCATCTCCCCGATGTGAAGGTGAAGAGCGTGAACCTGTCCGAGGGGGAAGTGCTGGCCATTCGCGGTGAGGAAGACGGCCACTTGGTCACACTGGCCAACCAGACCCTCCTGGTAGAAGGCCAGGTCATCCGCAGCCCCACAAACACCATCTTGGTCCTCTTCCGAGCCTTCCCAGATGACCTTGGGACTTTCCAGCTCCATTATCAAGGTACGCCAGCTGGGACAGCCCCCTCCCCATCCAAGTCCCTTGCAGGACTTCCTTTCCAAAAGCAGCAGCTCGTTTGACGACTCTGCCTCCTGCCAAAGCTGGAAGGCCCAAAGAAGGCCGGAGTTCCCCTACCAGACATGCCCCCACCTTCTCTGGGAGAAATGGGGCTGGGCTTCTCGCAGGGCATGGCCAGTGCCCTCCGGCCGGGATAGGGCTGTGGGCTCAGGCCAGCGTTAGGGCCTCTGCAGCAAAAGGATCCCTGTCATCCAGCAGGTCTTCCAGCACCCAGAGTGTTGGTTGGCAGCATCCCTCCGTTCCGTGCTCCTTGGCGAGCACTCCCCCACCTGTCGTTTTAACCTCGTCTGCGCACTTTTCCCAACAGTATTTATGCTGAGCTGCAGCTTCCCACGGAGGCCCAATTTTGGGGAGGTGGCCGTCATGGGCCTGCACTCGGGGGGCCTGGCTCACTTTCACTGCCACCTGGGCTATGAGCTGGAGGGGCCCCAGAGCCTGACCTGCCTCAATGCTTCCAAGCCGCACTGGAGCGCCCCGGAGCCTAACTGCTCAGGTATGGGGGACTGGCAGGCAGGGGTGGCTGGAGGCTGACAGGCTGCGCCTTGACCATCTGGCCTCCACTTGTCTCTGCTTTCAGCCCCCTGCGGAGGCACCGTGCGCAACGCCACCATTGGCCGCATCTTGGCCCCAACCTTGCCGCGGAGCCCCCCGGGCAGCAGCGTGGCTTGTGTGTGGACGGTCAGTGCCCCTCAGGGCCAGAAGCTCCACCTGAACTTTGAGAGGCTGGTGCTGGGGGACAAGCAAAGGTGAGGCTGTGGGCTGATTCTCTGAGAAGCAACAACAGTGGCAACACAAAATGTCTGCTGTGATTTGTAACATTAAGCTGTGTGCTTCAAAAATAAAAGCCTGGTGCTCTTTTCCACCAGCTTGTGCATCAGCTGTCCAGAAATAAGGATCCTTCCCCAAAATACACCCAGAGCATTTGGCTCCCCAGCACTGCGAGGCTCACAGCGTTTGAAGTGGCAGGTGTGGGTGCTTAAAGGAGCATCAGTTCTAAAAACAAAAATTGAGGAACTGGTAGACAGACAATAAAACAACTTTAAGAGCTGTGCTGTGATCTCAGGGTAAAACACCTGCTTATGACCACAGAAAATAGGGCAGATTCCATGGTGTGCCTTGGCAGACATGGCCCCTCTTGTATCTGGAGTCATTGTAATATGACCCCAGGAATTGTAGAGCAGCTTCAGAAGTGTATTGTTTGAAACAAAAATGGATCCCCTCCCCAGCTGAACTGGGAGCAAGGGCAGCGAGGTGACTCCGAGGACCATCCTCCTGGGCGTTTGCCCTTATGCACCACCTCCTGACCACGCTCTTCTCCTTTTGCTCCAGAATGGTGGTCTATGGTGGAGAGTCGAACCGCTCAGCCGTCCTCTACACCTCCCAGCAGGGCAGCAATGTGCCCTTCGAAGGAGTGATCAGTGAAGGGAGCTCCTTGCGTGTCGACTTCACCTCGGAGGACCCCAACGCAGAGCCCACCTTCAGCGTTCGATTCGAAGGTGATGCTCCTCATCCTCTTCCTCAAACTCATCGGAACGGGGTGATCGGACGGGGGGTGGGTGGGTGCTGTGCTGCTGCTAAACTTGGCAAATTAAGGCAAGAGCAGGGATGCAAACCTCCCAGTGCCAAAAGGGGCAGGTCAAGGCACTGGAGGGGCTGCTTGCAGTGGGGCCAGCCCTCCCACCTTGGTGCTGGAGATCAGGACCAACTGAAGGCTGCCCATTGGTAGACGGGCACAGGTGGATGAAGGCACCGAGGGAGCCGAACTCTCTGCAATGCTTGCCAGACTGACCTTTTCACAGGTCTCATGGGTGTGTGTGTGTGTGTGTGTGTGTGAGGCAACTCTTGAAATCCTCCAAAGGATGGATTCTCCCCCCCCCCCCGTGGATGGCTGGAAGGGAGCCCTTCTCAGCTCCTCTGCATGGCTCCTTCTGCCTGGCACGGGAGGAGCAGCTCAGCCTCTCTCCCGTCATCTGGGGGGGTGGATCAAACAGAGAGGAGCAGAGAGAGCCCCCAGCTGCTTTGGAGCTTCTCAGAAACAGGAGCAAAATGTCTGGAGAAAAAGCAGGTTGCTGGAGATGAAATGAAGTTTTTCCTCTTTTTGGGTGAATCAGGACCCCTCGGCCAAGGCATTCTCTTATCTCTCTTGTGCTGGCTGGAGAGCACTGGTTTTCTGGCCTTTGCTGATGATTATTGCTTACTGCACCATCATTACTGCTCCGTCCTCCTTTTTCATCTTTCTCTCCACTTAAATTCTGCCACACTGAACGTAATTTGATTTTGCGCTGTCTGCAGGCTGCGTCTTCCCACCCAGTCCAGCCTGGAGCCCCCTTCCCCTTCCCCGGGTTCTCTGGTCTTTCCCTGCCTGCCCCAGCAACCCTCAGCCACTCAGCCATGCCCAGGGATCTGCTGGGACCCACTTGGTGCCCTGCAGGACCGCTTGGCGGGAATCAGGACCTTGGAGAGCTCCCGCAGCCCGGCAGGCCTGACTCGGCCAAGCAAAGCGCACAAAACCCGAAGGGTCCAAAGCCCTGAACTGAATGGGCAGATCGGCTCAATTTCCCAGATCAGATCAGAGTTGGAAGATAAAAAGGTCTCCTGCACATGTGCAAAAGACCTTTAAAAAAAAAAAAAGCTGAACCCAAACAGTGAATAAAATTGATCCTCTTTGACAGTTTGATTCAACTTGTGGAATCAGAACATGAATTGAATCCTTCTAATTTTCCAGCAAAAATTGGGTTCAGTTCACACCCCCATGCAAAATAATTGCCCCCCCTAGGCTGTTTCCTGGCTGGGTTTGGCCCCTTCCTTGCACCAGAAGGACACATTGGGGGGCGAACCGCAAGGCCTGCCCGCAGAAGGGGGCGCTGGGGCTCTGCCTGTGCCAGTCCTGCCCTTCTGTGTCCTTCCCAGCTTTTGAGAAGGGCCACTGCTATGAGCCCCACCTGCAGAATGGCAACTTCACCACCTCCGACGCTACCTACAACCTCGGGACCATCGTGGAGTTCACCTGCGACCCCGGCCACACCCTGGAGCAAGGCCCAGCGGTCATTCAGTGCATCAACCTCAGGGACCCCTACTGGAACGACACGGAGCCCCTGTGCCGAGGTGGGTCGGGGCAGGGCGAGGGGCTTTGCCTCGAGGGGGGCTGCTCCTGGCGGCGGGGGCGTCCTGACTCTCGTCCTTGCAGCCACCTGCGGAGGAGAGCTCTCCATGGGGGCTGGGGTCATCCTGTCCCCCAACTGGCCAGAGCCCTATGCCGAGGGCGAGGACTGCATCTGGAAGGTCCACGTGGGAGAGGAGAAGCGAATCTTCCTGGACATCCAACTGTGAGTATTTCCCCCAGCTGTGGGGGGGAATTTCGTGCATTTGTCCTCAGCATTGGGGAGGGACAGTTTGCACTTCCAAAAGGCTGTGTGGGGGGGAGTTTGGCTGCCTGCCTGCAGAGTGAAAGTGGGGCTGCGTCTGGGGTGGGGGAGGGGGCACAGGCGGATCTGCTAGGTGGTCTCCCCTGACTGGAGTTGCCTGTAAGCCACAGCCACAGATCTGGCTGCCTCCCGCAAATGCATCCAATCATGCAAAAGACAGTCTCTGGATTTGCAGCCCCTGGGAGCACGAGCTCTTCCCGTCTCTTGCTTCTCTCTCTCTCTCTCTCACACACACACACACAATGCGCACACACATACACACCCCACAGCCAATTAAAGCCTCACTTGGGACTTGTGATTCCTCCCTGCAGAAGCCTCTGTGTGCCTCTTGATAATCCAGCTTGAATGACAGATACTTTCATCATGCTTTCTATTCCACCTACAGCAGCACAGAGCGTTGGGGGGGAAAGTCTGCTAAAACTGCTTTCTTCTCCGTCGGCTCTCTAGCAACACAGCATTCCTGATCTTTTGGGGATGTTCCTCTTCCCCCCCCCCCCGCTCTGGATTAAGAATGGATCCAAGACGGGAAGAGCCCGTGGCCCCGTGGCCGCCTCTGCCGCAAGGGAAGAGGCTGCTCTTTGAAAAGGACCCCCGCTGTCCCGTCTCTCTGGGTTTGGAGATGCTTTGGCAGAGCTGCCCACCCCTTCCTTGCACCCCCCCCCCCAATCCTTGTGCTGCTGCTCAGAATCTGCCAGCCTCAGCCGGCGTTGGAGTGTCTGGCAGAGGAGGAGTGACGAGGGCACCAATGCCAGTCCGGCAGGCTCTGTGCTCCCCAGCCCTAACCACTTCTTGGCACAGAAAGGCCCAGTGCAGCTAAAGAAACGGGGGAGGCTTTCTTTAGTCAGCTGGCAACCTCAGGTTTCTCCCTGGGATTGCCAGCTGACTAAAGAAAGCCCCCCCCACACACACATACACACACACAAAGTAAAGATTGGCATTGCTGGGCCAGCAGTTCCCTCTGCTGGCCAGCAGAAGCATCGTGGAACTGAAAGCGGAAGGCAGCGAGACAAGGCAGAGTACAAAGTCTTCTGCTCACTTGGAGCTCCAGGCACCCGTCTGGGCTGTGGATCATGTCCTCATCCAAGGAAAGGCTGCAGTCGGCAGCTGCTTGTGCTTGCAGCATCTGAGAGCCCTCATATCCAGGAACAGTCTATCTGTTGGCAGCAAGAGCAGGAAACGGTGCCAGGGGTTCTCTGGAGGGAGGGGAGGTCCAACACTTTCAGCTCCGAGAGGTTGCCAGCAGCTGCTGATCCCAGGAGATCCCCACAGATCTCAGTGGGGGCTCCCTGCGCTTGGCCCAGCAGGCTCTTCCCGCTCCCCTCCTCTCTCTCCCTGCAGCTTGAACCTGAGCCAGAGCGACATCCTCACGGTCTACGACGGGGACGATCTCAGCGCCCACATCCTGGGCCAGTTCCTGGGCAGCAGTGGGCCCCAGAAGCTCTACTCCTCCACGCCCGACTTGACCATCCAGTTCCACTCGGACCCGGCTGGCCTCATCTTTGGGAAGGGGCAGGGTTTTACCATGAGCTACATCGGTGGGTCAGCTTGGACTTCCCTGGGGTACCCCACCTTTTGGGCAGGAACCGGGCCTCTCGCACCCCGCCCGTCCTCACCGGGGCCTTTTCTGGCTGCAGAAGCCTCACGGAACGAGTCCTGCTCCGACCTGCCGGAAATCCAGAATGGCTGGAAGACCACGTCCCACACCGAGCTGGTTCGGGAGGCCAAAATTACCTACCAGTGTGACCCGGGCTACGATATTGTTGGCAGCGACACCCTCACCTGCCAGTGGGACCTCACCTGGAGCAGCGACCCCCCTTTCTGCGAGAAAAGTATGGCCCTGCCCAGATTTTATCCCCTCTGTGGCTGCGAGTTGCACTGAAGACAACCTGCTCTTTTTCCTGTTCTGCTCCTGCGACATTAGCCAAAGTTTCAGGCAGAGAAATTCAGTTTTTAAGCCATTCCTTCTTGGTTCCTCTCTCTGTGTCTGCTGTTACGAACACAGGAGCCCGGCTGGAAAGAGAATTGGCAATCCCAGGCTGTGCAGGGTAACTGGGGGAGAAGAAGGGCAGGCTGTCTGTAATATCTGCAGTAGCCAGTAAACGAGGAGTCAGTCACACACACACACACACACAAACCACACATACACACCTGAATGAGAGCCAGTGCTGTGTTCACAAGGAGCTGTTTTTAAACAAGCAGGGGACACGCTGCTTTGACCCTGTTTTATGGGGAGGGTCAGGGCTGCACAAATGCAGAGGGGGGGGGGAAGGTGCGAGATGGTCTGGCCTGAGCCTGCAGCATGTTGGGGTGCTCCAGCCTGGCCTCCTGCTTTTTGCCCTAGTCATGTACTGCACGGACCCTGGAGAGGTGGAACACTCGACCCGCTTGATTTCGGACCCGGTGCTCCTGGTCGGCACCACCATCCAGTACACCTGCAACCTGGGCTTTGTGCTCGAGGGCAGCTCCCTTCTCACCTGCTACAGTCGGGAAACGGGGACCCCCATCTGGACCTCCAGGCTGCCTCGCTGCGTGCGTAAGTCTGGAGCTCCCCTGGGGAGGGCGCTGCTTTTCCTGTGTCTGCCGCTTGGGACGTGCTCGCTTGTTTGTGGGCATGCAAGAAGGAGCTGGGGGGGGTAAGAGGAGGGTCACTGGGAGTCGCGTGGAATAGGTTCCCACTGAGCTGGCCCCCTTGCTAACCCGCTCCCCAATTCCCCCCATGCAGCGGAGGAATCCCTGGCCTGTGACAACCCAGGTCTGCCCGAAAACGGGTACCAGATCCTGTACAAGCGCCTGTACTTGCCGGGCGAGTCACTGACCTTCATGTGCTACGAAGGCTTCGAGCTGCTCGGGGAGCTGACTCTCAAGTGCATTCTGGGGCAGCCCTCCCGGTGGAGTGGGCCACTCCCCACCTGCAAAGGTAGCTCCGGGGGTGCTCTGCTGGGCTCCCCCAGCTGCCCCCTCTTGACAACAGGAGCCCTGCGACTAAAAGGGGGGGGGAGGCATTTTGCTGGGGAGGAGTCAGAGGCAGGAGCCGAAAGCCCGGCTCTGCCCAAGCTCTGGGGAAGCCACCTGATTCCCTGTTTCTCTTCCAGTCAATCAAGACAGCTTTGAACATGCCTTGGAAGGTAAGTCTCAGCCAGTCCCTCCTCTGCCCGGGGCATCTGGGCATCTGGGCAGGGCCGGCTGTGCCAGGGAGCCCTGCAGCCTTTTGTCTCTTTAGTAGCAGAAGCTGCGGCAGAAACGTCCTTGGAGGGAGGCAACATGGCGCTGGCCATCTTCATCCCCGTTCTTGTCATTTCCTTGCTGCTGGGGGGCGCCTATGTCTACGTCACAAGGTAGGGAGGGAGGGAGGGAGGGAGGGAGGGAGGGAGGGAGCCCACCCTACATGCCCTCCTAGCTTCTGGCAGCTTTTCCCTCTGGAAGCTCTGGGCAGAAGCTGGGCTGACCCACGGAGGCTTTGCTTCCTCTCTCCTTCAGATGCCGCTACTATTCCAGCCTGCGGCTGCCCCTCATGTATTCGCATCCATACAGCCAAATCACGGTGGAGACGGAGTTTGATAATCCAGTTTACGAGACGGGGGTGAGTTGCTGCCTCTCCTCAGCCCGAGGCAGAACTGATTGGGAGTGAAACGGAGACTGCCGGGACATCCCCGGACTCGGCCTTGAAAAGCCATCCTGGAAAGCAGCAGGTCGCTGCTGTCCTTCCTCCAAGAAGACCGCTGGACGTGTTGCGAAGCCAGATCCAATTCAAAAATGGCTTCTTTTCGGCTGGGTGGACCCCCAGTATCCGTGTGGCTGGGGGAGGGGTGTCATCCAGGTGCCCTAAGAGTGGCCAGAGCAGGAAAGGGACATGGAAATCGGCATTGGGAGGGTTATGTCAAGGTTTAGTCTGTCCTGGGCTGCGGAATCGCCATTGCTGTTTCCCCACATGGCAAAACCACGACGCCCGGTGACTGGACCGTTGGCTCTGCTGGTGTTTAAATCAACAGGATTAGCCACTCTATCTCCCCATTTTTCTCCTGCACAGTGAGAGAAAACTGAAAAATGCAGGGGATTCTGCTAAGCCTGTAGCTGGCAGTTCTCCCAAAGGTAACCCAGCAAGGGATGTGCCAGTTGCTCCCTTCTTCAGGTCAGCCTCACAGTCAGATGTGGAGATGCCCCTCTCGGTGCCTTTTTCGCCAAAGTGTTGAATTTAAACCTCTCGGGCATTTAAACCCGAGAGCTTCCCTTTAAGCAGGTCATCTGCGAAGATTCGTCAGTGACCGGCGCCATCTCTCTCCCCACAGGAAACCCGGGAATACGAGGTGTCCATCTGAAGCAGCCCCCAACACACGCACCGCCTCGACGTCCGTCCCGAAAGCCCACTTGGAGACGTGGTGGAATCTGCCTGAGAGCTGGAACCCGCTGCTCTCCTTTCGCTTTCGATCCAGGTGTGCCCACTTCTTCCTCCTCATCTTGGTGGACCCTCCCTCAGTGGTTTCTCAAGTCTCGTGGCAGGTGCAGGGCTCAGGCTTTGCTGGCATGGAGCTGAGCCCGCTTGGCCACACAGCTGCTCCTGCGGCCAGCCACAAGGGACACCCTCGCTCGGTTCGTCTTCGGGGTCTTGTGGATGCGTTTTGAAAACCTGTGGCTGAAAACTGAGGCTGCCTCTGGCGAAGGAGTGAGATTTGGCTTGCCTCTGTGGCCAGGTTCCGAACACTTGGCAGGGCTGCTCTTCTCTTGCCCCCCTCCCGAGCACAGCTGGTGCAACTTCTGCCTCTGCCTGAACTGGGGGCCGGGGAGGGGAGGAAGTGGAGCCCTCATGGGAAAACACAGCAGCCCTGGGACTCAGGGGCCGCTGGCTGCCGGGGGAGACCCAGAAGCCCAGTCAAGGGAAACCCCTACCAAGGCCTCTCCCCATTTTTATTTTGAGCGTGAGGTATGAACTGCAGCAGCCCCTTAGCCAGGACGAGCGAGGAAGAAGATGCAGCAAGGCCGGTCCTTCTGAAGAAAAATATCCTTGGCTGTTGCAACCTCTTCTGCCATCCTGGCCCTGGTCAAATGCTGGGTCCACGCAAGCCCCCTCTGCAGAGGAGCACCCCTTGCGGGCTTTGAGGGCTTTGGCAAAGGCCGCCTCTGGGGTCTCCTGTCAGCCAGGACGGGGAGAGGAGGTGGACTGGGCCGTTGCCCCACCAACAGAGCCCCCTCTGGCCCAGCCACCCACCCACCAGGGGGCATCAGAAGCCCCACCCGGAACCTTCCCACCTTGCGATCCTACAGGTGGCTCAAAATGCAGGGCAAGAGGTCAGCTGGATGAGCTACAAGTGACCCCTGAGACAGGCTGACACCCGCTTGGAGTGGTGTCCAGGACAAACACATCCCCCCCTCACAAGTGACCCTGGGCTGGTGGTCCTGCTGGGTGCCTCTGCTCTGGGACAAGTCGGCCTTTAAGGAGGAGGAAGGGAAGAAGGGCCGATGGGCTCCGGCTGCTCCTCTTTCCATGGAAACGAGATGAGGACAGAAGACTTTTTGCCTTGTGGAAGACATGTCCCTCCCTCCCTCCCTCCCCTCCCCCTTGCCCCCCCTCCCGATCAAGCCCACTCTTGTTATGTGGATGAACTGAAGGAGGCAGATATTTGGCTGATTTATTCCCATCTTTGTAAAAACAGTGAAAAATGTAACCATGACAATTTTTTAAACATGTCTGTTTTAGATTAGAAATCCAGGCTGTTGCATCTCTGCAGTTGTGAAGGATTTGGAAGTGTGTGCGTTTGTGTGTTTCCCCCTCCTTTTAAAGCATACAGGCCAGACCCCCCCTTCCTCCCCCTCCCAGGAGAGTGTGTTGTGGTTTGCAAAGGCTGGGAAAGGCGGTGGGCCAAAAAGCAAATGTACACAACTTCTCTCCTCTTTTTATAAGTGTGGTGGGATTAAATATTTTTGAACATGACGCAACCTCTTTGGACAGGGCCAGCGTTGAATAAGGCCACCGTCGACGGAGCTGGGTCTTCAAGTGAGCACGAATGCGCTTTCAGTGCTTGTGGCAGTCCTAACAGCGGGATTGTCGACACCTAACAGCTTGGGTGTTTTTGAGCCAGTGTGAAGACACAGCAACAACACGGCTTCTCAGCTGTGATCTTTCCTCTTTAGCAGGAAACCCAAACCTCGCAGCCGCCAGCCGTTCAGGGCTTCCTTGTCGTAATGATGCAAAATCTATGCAGGGTCACGGCCTTCCTCACGTGGACACGCAAGATACGTAAGGCAGGCGGGAGGCCACGTGCACCTCGCCTTGCTGGTTTAGATCAAGCTGAGTCTAACTGGGAATACTGGCAAAGAAGCAGGGCCCCCAAACCCCGGATTGGAAGGGCCGTGGAGCCAGGGGGGCTCGCCACGGAGGAAAGAGGGGAAACTGACTGCTTTTTTCCATCTGGGAGGGGTCTTCTGAGGAGCTTTCGGGGGGGGTGTCAGGAACCCCCTGCTGCCTGACATTTCCAAATGACACGGGTGCTCTCCAATGCTCTTGCCCCCTCCTTGGCTAGGATGGCTGGGGGAAGAAGAGAGCCCCAGGCCGCTGCAGGGAGGAGCCAAGAGCAGGCACAGGCTGGCTGTGCCCCCCTCCCATCCCCAGAGAGCCAGTCCTGCCTGGGAGCAGCTGAGAGGCCAGTGGGCACTTTCCAGTCTGACAGCTGAACAGAAAAGAGCAGCTGGGGGGGTCTGGTTGCTAAGGAACACCACCCCCTCACTCTGGGGTGCCAGTTTGCTGGAACTGCCTGCTCTGCAAGGCCTCGACTGAAGCCCCCCCTGCAGTTCCCCCTGCTTCAGGAGAGGGGGGCCTCAAATATCCCGACAGGAAGCCCACCATGTCTTCAGCCACTCTGACTGGGACTCTGGGGGCTGGGAGGGAGGGAGGGATTTCCTGCTGCTCCCCATGCCGGAGCGGAGGGATTAATGCTGCCTCTGACCAAGGGAAGCAGCACCCCCCCCCCATTCCAGCCTGAGTGCGCAGAAGGCCACATGGGAGCCTCTCATTGGCCACTGGCTGGAGGCCTGGGAGCAGGGTGGTACTCTCCATCCTCATTCCCCTTTGGGGTATTTGTTGCATGGAGCCCCACCCCCCCACCTTGGCTTTCTCCATCTTATTCCTTTCAGCAATCATCCTGGGGAGGACAGAAACCCCGATAACCAAGAGATAGAAATGGGGGGGGGACTCCACCATGGCCTTTTGCTGTTGAGCATCTTCCGGATCTTTGTGGCTAAATCCTGCAGGAAGGACTTCGCACTGAGGATTATGGGCCCACCCTCTCTGTGATAGGATGGACTACACTTCCCATCATGTGTTTGCATAGCCTCCAGATGAGACTTGGAAAACCACAGCACAATTTGGGCTAATTGGCCCTCAAGGAACAGGTGGCCTCCTGCCAGCCAGGCCTGTAACAGAGTCTCTCCCCCCCCCCCACCATGGAGACCAGCAGGCAACCCCAATCTCCCCAACCTCCGCATGGGAGAAACCCCCCTCAGCTGCCGCAGGACGAGAGGAGGTTTGGGTGGTTGACTGCAGCTGCTCGCTGGCTGAGAACCATGGGCAAGAGGGCATGCGGTGCTCTGCGTGCTTCTCCCAGCTCAGTTCTGTGCCCCCCTCCCCCAAGATGGAATACAGACTTCAGGTTTGCCTCATTGTTATTCCGGAGTAGCCGCATGAAGAGGCTGGCCTGCCGCCAGCTAAGACTTGGCCACCTTGCAGGATTTAGAGCCAGATGAGACGTTGCATCACCGGAGGACCCAGAGACTCAAAGGCCAAGGAAGGGTCGGGTCCAGGAACGAGGAAAGAGTTTGCCGACCCCCGCAGGAGTTCAACAGGGGCCCCACCCACTTCCGGAAAGGGCCGAGAGGCGCCTCTTCATTTCTTCCGTACAGATCAGCGCGGAAGGCACTCTGTGCGCGCTCCGTGGCAGTCTTGTTTGAAGCCTCGCGTGTTCTGGGCACGAACGCTGCCACTCCAAGTAGGTTCTGCGGTCAGGTTTGGCTCGCGGTGGGTAGTCCTGCGAAGGTCGGACTTCGAACCGTGGACCACCAGCCGGTCTGCTCGTTTTATTCCAGCCAATCATGCCATCCTCTCAGCTGCAGCGCTGGCCTTAACGCGACGCTCCCCGGAGGGGTCCCAACCGCCCCCTCGTTTGGGGCGCTCCCCGAGACGCTCCGCGCCTTCTCCGGCTTTCCGGGACAACCGCCCGCTCTCATAGCAGGTCCGCGCCCGCTTGAAGAGGCGGGCAGGCGGGCAGCGTTGCCCGTGGGGACCTCGCCTTACCCGCAGGGCGCCCCGTTCCTTCCTCCCGCACCGACGCGCGTCGAGACCCCCGGCTGCTGCTGGGCTGTCGGGTGTGCTCCAAAGGGGACCCCGGCTCCCTCGGGGGCGCCAAGCTCAGCCGGCTCCGCCGATCCCGCCCGAGGCGGCAAGACGCGCGAAACTCCCGGCCGCGGCCGCGGCGTCAGCACCCTCGTCAGCCGGGCAGCGCACGAGCCCCCTCGGCTCCTGCCGGCCAGGGCGGCCCACGTGGCGGCGGCGGCGGCGGCGGCGGTTGTTGCGCCACGGAGGCGGGCCCCTCCCGGCGGAAGAAGCGCGCCGCGCCCGCAGAGAGCCTCCACGCTCCCGGGGCTGGCCAGGACGCGCGGCGGCGGCCCTCCCCGGCGGGGCCGGGCGGGCTGCTGGGAGTTGTGGTCCGCGCCGCCGACGGGCGAGCGGAACCCGGCTGCAGGTGAGGCGGGCAGACGCGCGCGAGGGCCCGGACGGGAGGGGAGGGGGGGCGGGAGAGGGCGCCCCGGGAGAGGGTCTCCTGCAAGGAGGCGGCGCGTGGCGAGGGTGCCCGGGACACGTCGGCCACTTGCCCCGCGGCGGCGCCCCTGGCCGGCCGGGACCCGGAGGGCTTCCGTCTGTCTTGGCCCTTACCCCGCCGGGCGGGGCGAAAGGGGGGGGCTCCTCGCAGCAGGAAAGCGTTCGCCACATGCGCAGGAGCACGCTAGTCTTGGCTGCGGGGTAGCGGCGTGGGCGGCTGGCTCCCTGGGCCGGAAGGGCCGTTGCCGCAGGCCCGGCGGTGGGGCTGGGCGTCCGGCCGGGGGCGTCCGGGACCCCTTATGCGCCGCGGCGGAGCTGCCCTCCCGGCCTGCTAGATTTCCCTGCAAGCCGGGAAGCCCCCGCGGTCCGGCGCCCGCGTTACATAAGGCTGCTGTCGGGTGGGAGGCCCCGGGCGGCAGCCCCAAGACACTGAGCCCCCCCCCGGGAAAAAAGACCCCCAACTGGGGCAAGGAAAGCCAAAGGCTGAGTCAAAACTGCATGCTTGGGGGTTCAGCGTTGGACCGTTTGCCCACGGGCGCTGGCGATTGCAGGTGGGGGGGGCTGCCTTGCTGCCTTCTTTAAGGGGTCCCGTCCAGGCCATTTCGCCCAGGCGGAGGTTGGCATTCGCGTCTGGCTCTCAGGAAGAGTTAGCACGCTTTCCCAGGCGCGGCTTTTCGCCGTCCCTCTTGGCCCTGCCCTGGCTTGTGTTGCCCGGATCCTGCTGTTTGTGGAGGGTGCTTCACGCTTGAATCTTTGAGGAAGGGCCCCTCTGGTGGAGGGCACTCCCCCCCCGTCTAGGGCAGAGGCGGTCCCAGAAGTGGGTCTTTCTCTCCATGCTGCAGAGGGGGTCCCAAGTGGGCGCCTGGGCGCTGCCTCAGAGGTTAGTCCCTTTGCCAGCTGTTGCTGAGCCCCGGATGGGACACAGGAAGGTTGCTCCTTTCACCCAAGCAGAGATGGGTGGCACAGCTCCACCTCTGGCTCAGGTAAAGGCGCTGCAAGCCCTGGGTGTGACAAGCCACAGCTGGGCCACCTTTGGGTGCAGAGCCTTCAGAGTTGGTGACTCACCAGCTTCTTGATCCCTAACAAACTGCTGCCTTGGTGCTAAGTGGGCGGAACACTGTGGGGGTGCAGGCAGGCAGCTGGGCGGCTCAGAAACCAGCTTCTGCCTGCCCTGTGGAAGGGCTGACTCTGCCGCACCTGGCGGGTTCCCTTCCAGGGCCATCTGCTCAGGCCTGGAAGGCTGCTTGGCGTGACCCTCCGCCCACTGGGGAAGGAGGCAGCCCCTGCTAACCGAAGCCGGGCCTGGAAAAGGGCTGCTTTGTTTCCAGCCTGGCATGGTATGCAGACTCTTGCCTTGCCCCCCAACCCTGGGGAGATCAAAGGGTTGCTTGGTTCCTTAAGGTTCGGGAATTGGGGTGCTTCTTTGGGGCACCAGGTGATGGGGTGAGGGTGGGCTGATGGAGCAGGCAGGAAGCCCCCTCCCCAGTGCCCCTGTGTGTTCTCCTTTCAGGCTGTCCAAGACCAAGGCAGAGGCTGGATTGCAGCAGCTGCTTCGTTTGGAGACCCAGGAGGAGGGAGGAAGAGGAGGATGATCTTTGAGGGGAGGGCCGAGGGTCTAAGAGCAGCGGCTCCCCCCTCGAGAGACAGGATGCCGCCACGGGAAACCCCTTTGGTGGGTCAGGAGCCCGGGTCCTCAGTGGGACCAGTCTCACTGGCCACCTTGCGCTGGGCGCTTGGCAGCCAGACTCCCAGGAACTCTTTCGCCGCATGACCGGTCTTTCTTTGAAGCTGCCCAGGTCCGGCCCAGCTTTTTCTGTTGAACTTCTTCCTGGGCCCCCGTGTGAAGCAGGCGCCTCAGTCGCGAGGCTTTGCACAGCTGCTGCCAAGATGTCTCTGGAGGGGCTGATGTGCTGCCGTGGGTCCCTCGACTGGCTGAGGGAGTTCATCGGCTCCACCATCCAGTCGGTGCGGGACTGCGACCCCCCTGCACTCAGCACCCTGGCCGTCCTGCTGGCCCTCTTTGTCTGGTACTGCTACCATGTTGGGCGGGAGCAGCAGCCTCGGCCCTACGCCACGGTGCTCCCGGGGGGCCTGGAGGCGGCTGGCCTGCAGAATGGCTTCAGCCACTGCCGCTCCCCTGAGTGCGTGCGCTGCGCCCACAGTGACGGGTTGAACCAGAAGCTCTACCACAACCTCCAGGAGTATGCCAAGCGGTACTCGTGGGCGGGCATGGGCCGGATCCACAAGGGCATCCGCGAGCAGGGCCGCTACCTGGCCAGCCGCCCGTCCATCCAGCGGCCGGAGGTCTTCTTCCTGCCCGACTTGCCCACCACCCCGTACTTCTCCCGGGAGGCCCAGAAACACGACGTGGAGCTGCTGGAGCGCAACTTCCAGACCATCCTGTGCGAGTTCGAATCCCTCTACAAGGCCTTCTCTAACTGCAGCCTGCCAGATGGATGGAAAGTCAACAGCACGCCCAGCGGCGAGTGGCTGACCTTCTATCTGGTCAACCAGGGTGCCTGCGTGCCCCGGAACTGTCGGAGGTGCCCTCGGACATACCGCTTGCTGGGAAGCCTCCGCACCTGCGTGGGCAGCAACGTGTTTGGGAACGCCTGCATCTCTGTGCTGAGCCCTGGCACCGTCATCACTGAGCACTACGGGCCGACCAACATCCGCGTGCGCTGCCACCTGGGTAGGTTCTGCAGCCCCCCCCCCCCGCTTCCTGGCTAATGTTCTGGCAAGCGAGGTGCCCATCACCACCCAGCATGAGCCCAGAGCGGCCTTGAGCTAGTCAGCAAGGATTTTGGCCAAGCATCCCTTAGAGGCTTCAGTTGCCCTGTGCTGCCTTTGTGCTAGAATTCTGCCTGCTGAGACAATGCCTTGCAGATTTGGGGCTGCATTAGGGAAAGGAGCTTTGTCTGACTCCTGGCGTCGTGTTCCCAGCAGCCAGAATCTTCCAAGATTGTCTGAAAAGGCGGTTGGCAGATAGTGGTGGTAGAAATCAGGTTCTCTGCATGAGATAGCTGTGCCTTTCCAAGTTGCATCAGGATTCAAGAGACCCCGTATTGTTATAAGCCACAGTAAAGGTTCATTTGCATGGCTGGCACAAGCTGGCTCCCATACCAGTCTGGGCAGCTGCCATGGCAACAGCAACCGTGCCCTGATCTGTATTCTGCCAGGCAGCCACCCGAGACACAGGCTATGGCTAACTTCGGTTGTCTGAGCCGCCTGTCTACTCCTCCCTGTTGGGGAGCAGGCGCTAGAGATGCAATTGTGTATGTGTGTGTGTTTGCTTCTCCTTTGTGACCAGCTAGGAGGGTAAGTGCTTCGGTTAAGGCGAGTCTTTGGGTGATCCAGTGGGTGGGGGCTGAGATAGTGGAGGAGCAACTCCTTGGGCCAGGGGGGGGCTCAGCTGATGCCTCCCTGGCCCACCCTTCCTCTCTCCCTTCCTTCCCCCCTTGCAGGTTTGAAGACGCCCAGCAGCTGTGAACTAGTGGTGGGAGGCGAGCCCCAGTGCTGGGCTGAGGGACGCTGCCTGATTTTTGACGATTCCTTCCTGCACACAGCCTACCATGGAGGCAAGTCTGAGCCCCCTCCCCCAGCCCCGAGCTGAAGGCAGCACTGTGCAGCAGAGACCCAGGCTACCTGCAGGAGAGGTGCCCCAGGTGAACCAAGCCTGGGAATCCTCTCCGTGCCCGGCCCCTGGGACTGGGGGCACTCCGGACCAACCTCCTCTCTCTCTGCCCCCCCAGGATCCCCGGAGGAAGGAGCCCGGGCGGTGTTCATGGTAGACCTCTGGCACCCCAACGTTGCTGCGGCTGAGCGCCAGGCCCTCGATTTTATTTTCGCTCCTGGGCGGTGAGGTGGTGCTCCTTTCCGGAGCAGGTTCCGTGTCTGCGGAGAGGGGGGCTGCCCTCCCACCTGTGCATGTTCAACACAGGCACAGGCACAGGCACCCACGGCTGATGGGGCACCAGACTTGGCACCCAGGCCTTTCGCCTTGCAACCTCCTCCCAACGGCCGTTTTGCTTGGGGCTAGGCTGCCCCCCCTTTTCCTGTGATGAGGCCAAATGCTGCTGTAGTGTCCGTCGACCTTGCTACTTGTGCGTCGCTGTGCCCAGAACTTTGCATCCGCCAATCCTTGGAGGCGTTGATGAACCTAGTTGTGCCAATCTCTCTCGTGTTCATCCTCAGAAGGCAAACCACCCGTCACCCATCCTCACTGAAGCTTCAGAAACCACAGTGGGCCTCCCTAGGCCGGATCCTGTTCCTCATTTGCTCCCCTGGAACAAGAACACCCGCCCCCCTGCCTCCCTTGACAGAAGTGAGTAAAAGCAAAGCAGGGCAGCCAAAGGCTGGGGGGGGGAATAGCCAAGGCCCCCCCTTTTCTCAAGCCCTGCTGCTTTGTGCCTTGTTTGGGGTGCCCCTGCCTGGACTGGGACAGGATCCTTTGTGCACCAGTGGGGGAGGGGCTGCCGTGGGCTCTTCCCGCAGAGTGGCAAGCAGGCAACAGGAGGGGGGGCTTTCTGGCCTTCTTGGGGGCAGAAGCTGAAAACAAGCCAGCCCTTTTCACACATCAGAGTCGCGAGGCAAAATCATTCTGGTGAGACTCTGCCCCTCACCTGCACCGGAGGGCCCAGCAGCCCTGTGGCTTGGCCGAGGCCAGGACTTTTCAATAAAACACTCGTGCTCAATTCCGGGGTTTTTTCTTGTGGCTGATGCTGGTTGCACTGAAGACTCTGGGGGCCCAGGCTTTTGCCCTCGGAAGGGGCAGCCCTCTTCCCCTGGTGGGAAGAGGCAGGGGGAGCCCCGGGTGGCAGAGTTCTCCTCTGTGCTGGGATCCAGGGATCGCCCCAGGGGTCTTCTAAGCCAGAGCTCAGCCATCCCTGGCCCCCCCGGCCGAGCAGGCTGCAGCGGGCAGGTGCCGAGCACAGATCAGGCAGGGAGCCTCGGGGGGGTCCCCGTGACATCCCTCTGGAACCCTCCGCCCCAGAGAGCGGGAGGGAGCGCAACCCATGCCGGAAGTTGCAGCCCAGTTCCGGTAGCTATAACGATGCTCCCCCTTCTGAGAGCTCCTGTCGTTCCCGGCGTAGGAGGGTGCGACTCCTATTGCAAACGCACTGCGGGACTCGATCGAGCGGGGCTCAACTTTTGGGGGGTGGGAAATTGGCAGGTCAATCCCCAGAAACTGGGGTCTCGGGGGCAACTGGAGTGGAAGCCGTGCAAGTCACGAGTCCAGGATGAGCTTCCAACGGCTCCTGCACAGGCTGCCTTGCTGGCTGGGCTGACAGACGGCCTGCACAGACGCCAGCCGAGGCTCTCCTGCAGCAACTGCGAGCACAGAGGGTATTTTCCCTCAGTGCCTCTATTGCTACGCAAACACTCCTGCCTGGCTGAAAACACAGCTGCCCATGGCAGGCTCCCCCCCTCCCTCCCGGGGCCCCGGGCTCTCCTGAGAGAGGCTGGGCTTCCGTCGGGGACCCAGAGCTGGGCAGAAACAGCGGCTGGGGGTCAAGCGCACAGGGCGGGCCCTCGTCACGAATGCAGGCTGGGAGAGGCACAGAGCAGAAGTTGGCAGCTTTATTCTGGGCTGAAGGCTACATCTGAACCCAGATCCCTGTTCACCCCCCACCCTCCGCTGCTTTTCTACAGAACAAACATTTCCAGAGAATCCAGAACAGTGGGGGGGGCCTTCTGCTCCTCAGAGGAGTCCCATCTCAGTGCAGGAGAAGGGGCTGGAATCCCTTAGGGAAGCCCCGCCTCTCCCGGAAATAGGAAAGCCTGGAAGAGTGCCAGCAGCAGCGTGGGTGAAAGCAGAGCAGAGGAAGGCTGCCCTCAGTGCCACCATCTGCCATGCAGAAAGCACCTTCCAGAGAGACTGGAGGAAGGCCCTCAACTGCTGCAGCTCCCCCCCCCTCTTCTTCTGGTGGGGGGAGCAGCAGTCGTGCTCTGCCCTGGAGCCAAGTCGCTTTCCAAAGGTTCTGCCAGTGCCAGAGCCCCCGTTTTCCCAAGCCTGAAGGGGGCCCGGAAGGCACTGGGGAGGGTGGAGGGGCGCTCCCCCCGCCTGAAGATGGGAACACCCCAGGGCGGGCAAGGCCCGAGATGAGGCCGCAGCCGAACTGCTGCTCGCTTTGGCTAAGAGGCCGCGGCTTCTTCAGGCAGAGCCACCAGCGGGCACACCTGGGGGAGACGCGGCAAGGAGTCGGTGGGCCAAGCGCATTCGACAGGGCTCAAAAGCCTCTGCGCCAAAACGGAGATAGTCCTGGATGGGTGTGGAGTCCACCGAGATCTGCGCCAGGAGCGCCTCTCCGGCTTCAGAGCAGGTTCACCCCATGCTTGAGCAGCTTCAGCCTGGCCTTGCCGGGCAAACCGACAATGCTGTCCCGGGGGTTGGGCACCCCTGAGTTGTAGGGCGGCGAACCCCTCTGCTGAAAGTAGTTCTCCTGGACGGCGTTCCGGCAGCCGTAGACAGCCGTGGCGGCGTTTCTGAAAGAGATCGACAGACGGGAAGGGGCTCTTTTGTGCTGGGGGAGCTGTGCAGAAAACAGTGGCGGAGCTTATTGCAGCAACTGTGCCAACCACACACTCGGGCAGCAACTGCCTGGCAAGAGAGCTGGGTGAAATCAAAGCAGAGAGTTATGACTGGCTTCGGTCTGCTAGACGGAGGGAAGCACCGATCCTCTGCCATCGCTTCTGCTTCTGTGCGCCACGGAGAGCAGGTGGGCTAACGGTGGGAGGCAGCATGCCGTGGTATAGTAAGATCTCACCCAAACTGCAAGGGCCACGGCCCCCAAGGCCCCTCTGCTCTCAGCCCAGCTTTACCTGAGTGTCAGTTCAGAGGCTGTGGGCAGCTGCTCAAAGGTGGCGTGGATCAGGCCGGTGGCCTGCAGGAAGAGCTGGTCCTCAGGGCTCGTGGTCTGCAAGACGTTGGCTGAAGGAGGGACAAGTCGCGCCATCAATGAAAACGACGCTGGGGCAGGAGAGGGAAGGCTGCCCTCCATCTCGGCCAGAGGCTGCCTCCCAGCCCCTCCCGCACTCACTGGTGAGGATGTTCTGGACGGCGTCATAGTGAGCAAAGTTGTAGGTGCTCCTGGACGAGGTGAGGGGGCCCTTGGGAAGGGTCTCCGCCAGGTGGACCTCCAGGCCGTTCAGGGAGGCAAGGCTGCTGTGATACTGTGAGTTGGGGGGGGAGAAATATTTGTGGGAGGCCCCCTCCTCCAATTGTCCCGTTTGGGAAGCTTCCTCCAGGCGCCTGCCACAGAGAGGGTCCTGGAGGGCAGGGGAGCCGGCTGGCCTCCCTCCCTGCACTGCTGCCCTCAGAGCCTCGAGTGAGTTGGGGAGGTGCACGCTCTCCTTACCACGTCCTCCATGAGGTCTGTGGAGCTCACCAAGGGCTCTTCGGCCAGGAGGACCAGCACCAGGCCCCGGATGTGGTGAATGTACAAGGCCATCCTCACCAAGGGGGCCACGTCTGCCCCTCCTGCGGGGATCTCACTGCCTTTGCTGCTAGCCAGGTCCCTCTGGGACCCCCTGTGGAGGCAGAGCAAGAGATCTGAGCTGCCCCATCTCCATCTGCCTCCCCCTGGAAGCTCAGGCTCCCTGCCAGCCCTGGAGAGTGGCTGGCTGTCTGGACAGAAGGACTGACCAAACTGACTCCTGCCCATCCCATTAGAAGGCGGTTGGGCCGTCTGGACTGGCAACAGCAGTGAAAGTGAGGCTGGGAATCTCCTCAGAGAGCCTGATGGAGTCACCGGAGCCACGACGGAGAGCCCAGCCCGGAGGGACCGTCACAATTCTGGCCTTACCTGGGCATCCATTCCACAGGCAGTTCCCGCAGGGCAGCTGCTTCGTCCTCCAAGAGGTAAACAGGTATGACACAGACCCCCGGCGGTAAACTTGTTGGCCCAAAAGTGGTCAGGGAACCACCTAAAGAGCAATTTAGAATCCTCAGGGTCTCAGGAGGAGCTTGGCAAGTGGGTGGTGGGGCCTGGGGTGAACTGCCCAAAGGAGCCATGCCCAGCCTCCCAGCTTACCCTCTTTGAGCTGCACTGCCCCCTTTTCCGGCCCACTCTAGAATGGAAGCAGAGAGTTAGCCAGGTGATACCAAATTGCAAAAAAGGTTATCTTTCTCAGACCAGGGTTATTTCATGGCCGCCCCCCCCCAAAGATTATTACACCAGAACCATCCAAGTGATATTGGTACATTTTCTACCCTCCCACCCCCCAAGGCAGAGCTACAACTTACACCTCCATCCTCTGTTCCCTTCTGCAGCAGAACTCTGGCGGTGAGCTCGGGTGGCAGCTGTGTACTGACCACCCTGCATGGGGAAAGAAAGGAGAGGTCACCCAGGGGGGTCTCCCATCCCTGAAGAATGAGGCCCATCTAAGAGTACAAGAAGGCCCTTGCCCACTCTGCCACCCGGAGGCCTTCACGTTGGAGTGGGCACATGGGGTAGAGGTGATCTGATACACCGCAATGGTGAAGCTGACTGTATTCGGGGTTGTTTAGCAAGGGCCAGTGGGGGAGACCCTAGGTGTCAAGGCTGGCCCCCTGCTCCCCACCCAGATACTCACAGGCCTCTGTAGAGGATGCAGCCGGCCAGCACGTGGCGAGAACGCTGGCAGCTCTGCAGGATGAGGGCAGCTTTCAACAGGAGCAAAGGGTCCACCTGTCAGGGAGGAGGAAGCCGGAGCAAATGACCTTTCTAGGCCCCTCGGGACAGCCGGCCCTTTCTACTTTCCACCCGGTGCCGTAAGACAGTGCAGGAAGTAACAGGCCCCAGCCCTCCCGGGAGGCACCTTGGTTTTGTCTAAGGCCCAGAGGGAGTTAAACACCCGGTGAAGGTCACTGGAGCTTTGCTGCAGGTGGTTCACATACAGTTCCCACTCCCGGTCCAGATCCTCCGGTGAGCGCTCCTGGGAAGGACAAAGAGCACCCGGTCAGAACCGGGGCAGAGGACAACTCAAGAGACCAGCTGCCCAAACCCACTGGCCGTGTAGAAACGCCCTCCTTTGGGAGGGGCATTCCTTTGGGGGTGGGCGAGGCCCGGCTCAATGTACCTGGAGCAGAGGGAGAAGCTTGGGCCGTGGCTGGAATGAACCACAAACTGATACAAGGCTGAGCACAATTGCCAGGACCTTTTCCAAACTGCTCCCCTGGCTGGAGGGGCAACCGACACCCTGAGGCTTCAAAACATCCCTGGATGTCTCCCAGGGCTACACACGGCTTGCACTCAGGTGATTGCTATGCTACAGCCCAGCTCTCACCGCTGCTGCTTCACAGAGTTATGATAGGGGATGGTTGCGTAGACCCACCTGATCGTGGCTGGGCGTCATTTGCCATCAGCTGCTGCCCCCCAGCAGCCGGCCAGCCCAGATCCCAGGGGGAAAGAGCAAAGCGCCCCCAGCCCTTGGGAATCCTGCAGGGCCGCAGATTGTCCCCCAGGGATGCCTCCCTCTGCAGAGTGCAGCAGCCCAGCACCTCCAGCTGAGGTCGGACGAGTCCAGGCAGGGGAGGGGAGTGAATGTGCAGCCTCTCACCCACCAGGTAAGCCCGAGAAGCCGGCCCGTTGTAGAAGCGGAAGAGGCCGACCAGCCGCTCCAGGAGCCGCCTGCAGCTGAGGTCCGAGAGGTCGGCGGTGCAGCCCAGCACCTGCAGGAGAGAAGGGCGAGGATGGGCCGGATGGGACCCGCACCGCTCCTCCCCCGTCAGGGCCGGGAGCGAAGGGGGGTCGCGTCTCCCACTCACCCACAGGTAGGTGCCCTGCGCCTCCAGCGCGAACTTGAGCCTCCGCAGCCGGATGAGTCCCGGCGGGGAGCCGGAGATCTCCAGGGCGCAGCGGGCCACGCCGGCGATCTGTCCGCACAGCAGCTCCTGCTCGTCAAGGGGCGCCTGCAAGGCAGGAGGGGCGGCGGCGGTGGGGCTGCCGAAGGACCCGGGGGGGGGAGAGGGGGAGGGGGCCCCACCCGGGACGGGGGGCCACGCGGAGCTACCTGGCGCGGGTGGAAGCAGCAGATCCCGGCGCGGGTGGGGTCGCCCTCGCCCCGCACCTTCGCGGCGTCGTAGAGGAAGAAGC